ACGGTGTTGGGAGAAGTGAGGAGACTATAAATATGGACTACAAACACGGTGTTGGGAGAAGTGAGGAGACTATAAATATGGACTACAAACACGGTGTTGGGAGAAGTGATGAGACTATAAATATGGACTACAAATACGGTGTTGGGAGAAGTGAGGAGACTATAAATATGGACTACAAACACGGTGTTGGGAGAAGTGAGGAGACTATAAATATGGACTACAAACACTGTTGGGAGGAGAGGTAAGGAATAATGTTTTGATCAACTTCTGACCCAACAGTACTGGAAATGTTGGTCCCTTCAACACAATAATGTTATCTCTTTAGACATCATCTCCCACTGAATACTATTGTTGTTTCTTAATAGTAACTTCAGCGGACCAACTTTTACTATCATAAACATGTTTTTCAGGTCGAAGGTCATATAACTTTTAACCCCATGTGCTTCTTTTACATTAATGCAAACTTTCATGATCACACAGTTTACTAACAGGTCACTTTCTAGTGTATAAACACCAGATAAAGGTTAGATCCCAAAACTAAGAGGAATTCACTACTTTGAATGTATTTGGCCAAGTAACAACTAGTATGAACAGCATATTTTTATTAAATCACCAAGGATATCAGGCTTTACAAATGTCTATAAAAGTTTATACAAAAATGATACAACTTTCGTTTGTACTTACAAGTAATAATTTACCACTCGAAACTTTACATTCAAACTTCAACACAAACTGTATTTATACATTGCATGGAGTGACCTAGCAAACAAACCAACAACAAAATCAATCCTTCCATTGTAATAAGTATCTTGTCATGTCACTTTCACATTTATTTTAATTAGAGCACGGGTAAGTCAGCGTTAGTGCCACACGATACACAAATAAATAAGTATAAAGTTAGATTCACACACTCGTTGCTTAAACATTGTTGAATTTATGGTCTACAAGAAAAATATTGTATCCAGCATAAAAATGAAATAATCTTGTTATAATACCATAAAACAAAGCTGTCCAATCGTGGTGCAGCTTTCAATACCTTAAAAGAAACATTTCCACAATGAACCAATAAGAAACGTGCTTCTACGTTAGTCCTCGTATCTCACGACAGAAATTAATGATGACTCGTGTAATAGGGTACTACGTCGTGCTACTGATGCAAACCAATATTAGCCTTTCATTTGAACACATCTATCTTACAATGATGAAACTAAATAACACTGTGTAAAGCTTTACCAACTATGTTTTATCTGAAAGTTTTATAGACAAAAGAAATGTATCCTTCCTTAATCTAAGGAATACCTTTTACTAAACCACTCTCTAAATAGAGAAGTTCACAAACATACGAGATAGCAACCTAGTTATACCTAACATCATCACTAGTTCAATAAGTTTTTATTCACAAATGAACATTTTGTTGTTTTTTAACTAATTTTGCTTAATGTTCAATAATGAGAACGAACCTGCACCAAAACGTAACGCATTTCAATATTCTTCCGTGAGCTAAGCTGTCTTAATTAAAAAATACTAAAGATTAACTCTCTGTATACGGGCTTGGTCATTTGAAACGATCTTGTAACCAGAGCTATAAATGTGAATGTATTGAGTATATCTTCACAAAATTAAACACTAGAAGTCAAATGTACACAAAAAATGAAATTTTTCTGATAGTATTTTTATTATAGATTTGTCTGTGAATTTAAAACCTTTACTGACTCAGTCTGGGTGGATGGGGATCACAAGTTTTGGTTTTGATAAAACTATTTTCCTCTCTACTAACACTATATTGTAGTGAAATCATCAGTAATGATAAGTTGTAAAATAAAAAAATACCCCCTTTTTTTTTCACTAGAATGACCATAACGGACAGTTACAAACCTCTTAACTTTTCACAACTGCAGGTCTAACTGCACAAGTTACAGAGTGTGAAAAAATGTAGTTTTTCATTCATCTAACGTAACAAGTTTTAAATTTTTACATTTTAGGTACTTTTCACAAAAAATTTATAACAATAAATAAAAAGAGACGAAATTTAGAAGTTTTCTTATACCGACAGGCAAGTTTATTAATGAGTGCCTACTTTTCTAACCCTATTTTTACACCTACAGGCAAGTTTATTAACAAGTGCCTACTTTTCTAACACTATTTTTACACCGACAGGCAAGTTTACTAACAAGTGCCTACTTTTCTAACCCTATTTTTACACCTTTAGAAAAGTAGGCACTTGTTAGTAAACTTGCCTGTCCCTATTTTATTCCGACTGTGTTTGTCATCCAAAAAAAAAATTCATGTAGATTTTAAATATGAATTTGAGAAAACCAAAACATATTAACTAGAATAGATTTTATTAAAACTATTATAATTTAATCTAATTAGCTACCTTATAAGTAAGTAGAAAAAAAACTTTCATTATTTCTGGGACCAAAACTTTAAGTTCAAAGCTATCAAGCTCCGACAGCAAATGACCGACTTTAACGACTCAAACAATACAAATGATCATGTGATTAACATAGTGTACAATGTACTCTTTCTCCTGGATATATACATGACCAATAGCAATGTCAGAGAAAATTATATACACATTTTTGAAAGACAGGATGGACATGGCATATAGATTTCTTTCTTGTTCATGTCTTAGTAAAAGTTTTGAACTTACATTATGACTTAGAAATATTTATATTACACGTGTGTAACTTCTGATAAACTCAGATATTATGAGGAGTAGGAAGAAAATCTAAATTGTAGAGCATAGAAGTATCAAGTGATACAGAAAAGTAAGAATTTATTTAAGTATTTCCGTTTGAAATTCAGAAGTCAAAACTTATATAATACTAAAATATGAGTTACAAAATTATGTTTTTTATCTCAAATGTATTGAAAATAAAGTTGTTTAATTAGATTTTATATGTAAAAAGGTTGTGATATGCAGACTTTGACTCACCCGAATCCAGAGAGTTAATCAACTTTGGTTTTAAATTTATCATGCAGGGTTTGATTACGTAAGAAAACAGGTGGATATATTATCCAGATTAACGAATGAAGGCTGAGATATTCGACATAAGAAACACAGCAGTGGAACTTCAAAATTTCACCTCAACGACGGCAGAGTAAATGGTGACAGTTAACTAAGTGTTGTAAAAAGTTACCATGGATGATGGGGTCAACACTGGGATAAAAATTAGTAAACAGGAAAACTTATCCTTACAACACTACCTTAGGTTTGAAAATCTTATTGTTAAAATTAAATTACAGATTAAAAAAAAAAACAGGATATGATTTTTGTGTGGGTTGTAGTAGTGATATTTGGTGATTTTCCGGAAAAATCTCTTCAGAGTGTGATAAGTTCTACAAGGTTTTCCTTTGGCTGAGTCATTTCACCTGGGAAGAATTCAACCAGTGTATCAAAAAGTGCTGTTCTCTGATGAAACTTTTCCTCTATTTCATCTCCTGTAGAGAGAAAATACACACTAATAAATACTACTCATTAATCTTGAATTAAAAAACAAATCCCATGAGTTGCACCTTTGAAAAAAGTAACATTTAGTGTTTTCTATACTAGTGAGCAACTGAATATTACAACTAGGTAGTTACTAATAGTCAACAAGATGTTGTCAATTTTGATTTTCACAGATTTTATTATTTATAGATCGTAACAAAGATTTCTTGAAAGTGGATCAATCTGCCACTAAACAGATTTCTAAAGAATAGAAAAAGGCTTTTATAATTCAGAAATAAGTTTCTTTACACAAAATAACAAGAGCATCAATAATAGTATGGTTAACTAAAACCTTTTTGGTTTTGTATTAGAGGTTCATACAATACACCAGAATTATAAAACCTTCTTTGTTTTGTATAAAAAGTTCATAAAGTACACCAGAATTACAAAACCTTTTTTGTTTTGTATAAAAAGTTCATAAAATACACGAGAATTACAAAACCTTTTTTGTTTTGTATAAGAGGTTCATACAATACACCAGAATTATAAAACCTTTTTGTTTTGTATTAGAAGTTCATACAATACACCAGAATTACAAAACCTTTTTTGTTTTGTATAAGAGGTTCATACAACACACCAGAATTACAAAACCTTCTTTGTTTTGTATAAGAAGTTCATAAAATACACCAGAATTACAAAACCTTTTTTGTTTTGTATAAGAGGTTCATACAACACACCAGAATTACAAAACCTTTTTTGTTTTGTATAAGAGGTTCATACAACACACCAGAATTACAAAACCTTTTTTGTTTGTATAAGAGGTTCATACAACTACACCAGAATTACAAAACCTTTTTTGTTTTGTATAAGAGGTTCATACAACACACCAGAATTACAAAACCTTTTTTGTTTTGTATAAGAGGTTCATACAACACACCAGAATTACAAAACAAAACCTTTTGTTTTTATTAGAGGTTCATACAATACACTAATATTACAAGAATCACTTATGATGATTTAATTCTGCATAAAGTTACTTAAAGAGATATTTGTGCTAACCATCCCTAATTTTGAAGTGATAGATTAGAGGGAAGATAGCTAGTTGACACCAGCCGTCATAGCTCTTTAATTATCTCAGCACAGGCTCGGTCAATCTGACCGAACACGTGATCTCTTTGTATTCGTTTAAAGTCTTTATAGATTTAATACTTCTAACTTTCAATATAGTGTGTTATCCTTCACAAAATTTGGCAGTCTTTCTGAAAGTTAACATTACAAGTTTTTCACATACAAAAAAATATTTTTTAGTGAAGTATTTTTAATAAAGATTTATCCATTAATATTATTTGTTTTGAATAGTCCATGTGCAAAGTAATGTTAACATTAAAAATAATTTTCATTTAAAAAATATCAAATTTCCTTTGTGTAATCCCTAAAACCTCCTAAATGTATTTCAAACGTTTTTTTTTCAGTTTTATAGTTGATCTGTTATTTTCTCTACCCTATCTCAAAACGGAATCGGTCAATTCAACCGACTTCGTAACCACCAAAAAAAATCGATATAAACCTAAATTACCCTTTTTTTCTTTCTAGTATGACTTCAAATTCTAATATGAAACTACATTTGTTTATTCTAAGTAGCTCTATATTCATAACAGTATACACACCTATTTATAATTATATTTTATTGTTTGATTGCCATTTGAACTCAGCCTAACTACTATCTGCATCATAAGTTGTAAATCACTCGGGGAACATGCAGCTAACGTTACGCTAACAAATTACATTACCCACAAGCTACTATGAGCTGCTTGCGTGTGTGTGCCTCGTGAAACATTTTAACAATATTATTATATTATTATTATTTATTTTACCTAATCTAATCTTAACCAACCTAAAAGGATCCTTATTTTTACATTTTAGTTACTTTTATAATTATACATAAAGAATAAACAAGAAATAAAATACTTAACCAATCTTCTTTTTCCTTGTTGTCGACTGTTGAAGAAAGTTAACCCTAATTATTATATACTATAGATAGTAATGCACTTAATAATTTTTATTTAATCAAATAATACACCAAACAGTATAGACTAATAACATGCAAAAAGTAGACAAATTCTCTTACTTTTTCTGGCTTTCTAACTTTGTGACAAGAATCGTTACAAATTCATCTAAGCTAGTCGTTAAATTTCTCACGGGAACGATGTTGGTACTCTTGAGTGAAATTGACATTTACGCATTCAGAATATAACGTTATACAATGTCATTTGATAGATGAAAACCTCGACTTTCTGTTGGTTGTAGGTAATATATAATTAAACTTAGGAGAGAACTATTAACAAATCCTGAAAGAGAGGATGTGACAGGTGGGGGTGGCAGGGGGGGTTTGATTTTCTATTTGTTGGCTCTGTAATCAAACAAAATTGAAGACTACAAAAAATTGGGTTTATCGGAGCAATGACGATTTTATAGTGAGTAATTTATGTTTAATTTCTTACTATTCCAAGGGGTGGTGGATAAAATAGAGGAGACAAGATGCCCAGAGAAAATGTGTCACGTGCGTCACACTATGGGAAATTCTGGATATTTTTAAATATTGCCTTGTAGAATTTAGAACTGAAAACTTGTATGCTATTAAAATATGGATTCTTAGCTAAAATTTTATGCTATTCTAATTGGTATATCATAAACAAAAAGTACTTTAATAAAATTTTGAATGTAAGACACTAAAACCTTGTGTCGTGCACAGTAAAGCATAGCCGTGGCAATACGCTTAACTATGAACAGTGGACTAGATATCACATTATAACACCCTCATAGCTGAAAGGACGAGAATGACTGCTGATAGATTTTGACTCCACAACCTGCAGCTTGCAAGTTCACCACCAGGACCCAGGGATTGGACAGTGAGCTATGAGATTAACTCAATTAACTATGAGCTTCATTTACATTGATTGTTTGTTTTGAATTTCGCGCAAAGCTACACGAGGGCTATCTGCGCTAGCCATCCCTAATTTAGCAGTGTAAGACTAAGGCAGCTAGTTATCACCACCTACCACCAACTCTTGGGTTACTCTTTTTACCAACAAATAGTGGGATTGACCATCACGTTATAATGCCCCCACGGCTGAAAGGGCGAGCATGTTTGGTGTGACGGAGATTCGAACCCGCGACCCTCAGATTACGAGTAGAGCACCCTAACATCCTGGCAATGTCGTGCCCTTTACATTGATTAGTGTCAGGTTAAATTATGGATTAATAAGGATTACAATTAAATTGATTAAACCTATTTAAGTGGGATTAGAAAATACCAGATTCATTGGTAGGAGATTAATATTTTCATTTACAATTTGATCTCTTTTTTAGCACATAAGTCATGACATTTAACATACTACAATTAATTAGCTATACTCAATACCAGATATATTTTCTAGTGTTATTCTAAGTAGGTACCTTGAAGTTAAATTGTTAACAAATAACGAATGAGCCTCATGTGATCAAGGTAGAAAACGCTCTTACTTTTATCTGAGTCAACATCATCATCTTGCTCCTCTGTTCGAAACAGCTTTGATGCAAGCAACTGAAACTGTATAAAACAAAAATCCATCATTATTCCCAATTAAAAAAAAAAAAGACACTATTTTTGTTAAAGACTTACTCACAAGAAATTTATACCAATGACGTCCCAGAACACTGGACTAATTGCTAGAGAAGGTTGTGACAAAGTGTTCATAAAGAACTAAAATAAATTATGTGGTAAAAAAACTAAATGATGCTGCAATATAACTGTCCCATAATTTATCAGTTTTTCATTAGGTGCACAATATAGATTATCACAGAACAGAGAATGATGTATACATAGTTTGGCAACATGATTACATACAACATGAATTTCAAATAGAATTACAAAAGAACTCTCACTGATCAGACAGGTCACAGTGTTAACCTCTGTAAAAATAAGTATACTTGCCCCTGTAGAATATTCATCTAATAAAACTAGTGACAGTGCTGCCATCTAGTACATGTAACTTTATGTTTTGGGAGAAGTTTCACCGTTATTGGATTACAAATAAATGCCTAGTGATTTGGATAAAATTACATTCCAGTGGAGTGGTGGTTGTTCCACTTAGTGATAGAAATGTATCTGGAAAAGGCACAGAAGCAACAACCTAAAAACAAGACTAAAGAAACACAGCCATGCTTAAAGTTTGACTGGAGAACCAAATAGGAATCTACAGCTTGTACAAGATAACATTTATAGTATGAATTTGAGTGAATGAGTTAGTTTTATACACTATATGTAATAGTTGATGTACTCATTAAATGCAGGTAGAATAGATATGTAGGGGTTTACGGAACACTGACTCCCCAAGGGAGCCTAAGGGTACATGGCAACGATTATTCCAGAGGTTTACCAGTTATAAGAGGACACACACACTAAAAGACTTTGGTCAAATAATGGTTGAAAACTTATCAAAATAAGACAGTGATAAGTCATAATGAAGTTTACCTCTTTAGTCTCTTCATCATCACCGTGATCAACAGTATCGGCCAAGTCCGACTGTAGATAGGCTAACGCACAGACAGGATCGGTCTTGGTAATCTCCTGAAAATGCTGCTGCCGGATTAGCCGACGGGCTTTCCTCAATAACTGTTCTACCGTGGGCCTGAACAACTAGAAAAAAAACCACAAAACATTATACCATTCATTCTTGTTCAATCCATTATTATCAACTAAAAAAAACCACAAAAAGTTATGCTGTTAATTTGTGTTCAGTCCATTAATTGAAAAAAGCAATTATCATGCCTTCAAAAAATGTTGAACAATATAAACTGAATTTCAAGAGGAACAGTTTTGAAGAATACATTAAAATATCATGAAACGGATAAGGAAGTTTGATAAAATGTTTAAATATATATCCGTTATTTGAGAAAAAGAAAAATTTCCCAACATACATCTTCATTGATTATAACTGATATCAAAACATAAACTTGAGAGAGACTTAAGGAGAAATGTTGGTATTAAAGACTTGCACTTACTTGAAGTTAACAGTTGTTTCTTGTTATCAAGTAAATACACTTCACACATGTTAACTTTGACTTGATAACAACAAACATTTGTTAACATGTGTGAAGTGTATTTACTTGATAACAAGAAACAACTTGACGTGTGTGAAGTGTTGACTGGAGAGTATTTGACTTGATAACAACAAACAACTTACACTCCAGTCAGTACTTCACACACGTTAACAGTTGTTTCTTGTTATCAAGTCAAATACACTCCAGTCATGTTAACAGATGTTTGTTATCAAGTCAAATAGATTCCAGTCAGTATTTCACATACATACACAATCTCAATTTTTTACTCTCAAAGATTCAAGTTATACAGAAGAATTCCTTGACAATATATCAATATTTGTCAGAAGTACCATGCTTAGTACCAGAATTAACTACGACCACTGTGACACAATATGTCTTCCTCTACAAGTAGATAAAACGTTGTGAATAAAAGTCATACAATAAACTAAACAAATTTCTTCAGAAGTTGTTTTAATTATATCAAATAAATACTCATGCAAAGCAAAACACAAGTTCTGTTAAATGAACAAAGTTAACAAGAGTTTATGTCGGTCTGGGGCTATCTTCTCAACTAAGTAAGTAAGGAAAGCCATTAAAGGTGGTTGTAATACCCAATAACATCAACACAATTTTATTGATCTTTTGTCCTTAAGCCACAACGTTTATATCACTAATTTTCATTCATAAGAAAAGGTCGAGACAAACAAGTATGCGATGTTTAACTACGTGACAGAACATCTTATGATCTTAAAATACTTGATAACGTTATACATTAGTGTAAATCTTCGTACATCTCTGATATATTTCAGCAGGGGTAATTTAATGACCAGATACAACTTAC